GCTCCATCCCTGGCCCCAGCGCCTGCAACCCACCCCACCAGGTCCAGCTCGCTCTGCAGGGAGCAGGCGCCCATGTGCAGCCCCAGGAGACCCAGCTGCCTCTCGCACCACTTGGGAGGACCACTGCTGCGCCAGCTGCCAAGTCGCTAGGTCAGGCACTGTCTCCTGCTGCGCATCTGCACAGAACCCAGTACACCCAGTCTTCCCCACCTCTCCTGAGAGAGCGCTTCCCCTGAGAGCTAACACCCTGCAGGCAATTGGCGTGCCCTGCGTTGTAACATTTCCCTTCCAGCCTTGCCTGACCTTTGCTAACAGGCTTTTTGAGGCAGGAGCTCTCTCTGACTACAAGCCACTGCCCATGGTTTTCTTCATGTTGCTCTAAAGTTCGCAAACGGTTGAATAGCTGATAGGAAAGAACAAGGAGAACCCAAAGCTTGACAGGTCCTGCAAGAAGAGGACAAAGACAAACTGCTCGTACACCGCTGGTGCGTTCAGAGGGAGGACCCAACAGCCCCAAGTCCGAGTCTTCCGCCTCGCAACCATGCAGCCCACCGTGGTTTGCACCACCCAAGGGGCACCAAGACTTGCATGCACCTTTCTCCAGGGGCTTCTGCGGGACTCACACGGTGCCGTGCTTGGACTTCGCGTGGAGATAAATGCCACCCTTCAGTAGGGAGCTGCAGAGCTGGAAATCAAAGACAGGGGGAGGGAGGCCCGCCAGCCCGTTCCGGTGGTGGATCTGGGCATCTTGCCCTGGGGCCCCACCCTGACACCGCGTCCCCTCCCTTGGGGTGCCAGGGCTGCGGGGCCCCCCCTGGGGGCCCAGCCAATGGAGGGGTGCACAGGGAAGAGGAGGGGCCCAGCATAGCATATAAAAGTGGGGACGGGGAGACCCGCTCGCCAGCGTGCGATCCCTTTGGGAGCAAAAGCCAAGACTTCCTCCGTACCTGCCGGCAGCCACACGCTACCCTCCACCCGACACCATGGTGCACTGGGCAGCCGAAGAGAAGAAGCGTCCAGCTCCTGGGCATCTGCTCAGCTGCACCCTGGATAAAGAAACCACTCCAGTCACGGGAGCATTAACATGTCTGTGTGTCTGCTAATGTCCCTCTGTCTCTCCCCAGGCTGCTGATCGTCTACCCCTGGACCCAGAGGTTCTTCGCTTCCTTCGGGAACCTCTCCAGCCCCTCTGCTGTCCTCGGCAACCCTATGGTCCGCGCCCATGGCAAGAAAGTGCTCACCTCCTTCGGGGATGCCGTCAAGAACATGGACAACATCAAGAACACCTTCGCCCAGCTGTCGGAGCTGCACTGCGACAAGCTGCACGTGGACCCCGAGAACTTCAGGGTGAGACATGCTCCTGACCGGGGGACCCATCCTCCCCACCGCATCTTTGTAGGCAGTTTCTCCCCTAACCCCGAGCCCCACCATGTGAGGGATTTACCCTAGACATGCTGGTGCAGGAGGAAGAGGGGCTGGTGTTGGGGCCAGAGGGAGATGCAGGAGAGGGACAGAGAGGGAAGGGACCAACCTGCAGCGTGGTGAGAAAGCACCGAAAGGGCTGAGAGGTGATGGTTACGGAGAGACCATCTGGATGGTGCAAGTGAGGATGCACAGGAGACGGGAAGGCGGTGAGGGGGTGTTTTCAGTGAGAGAAAACTTTGGCTCCCATGTCTCTGCAGCTGAGAGTTTCCTAGTGGGGAAGTAACCCTGACATTTGTCACTGGTGCTGGCAATCTCCCCTGCGTCAGCATGAGCTCCTTGTTCATGCCAGGGTGCTTTGCAGTGCCGAGTGCCGGCTCCCTGCCGTGCAGCAGACGCTCATCTGTGTCTTCTGCTCGGGAGAAACTCCCAAACAAAGCCAGAAGGGAGGAAGAAAACTTTAATCAACAAAATTTCTTGAGAATTTTTGGTTACTTTTCCCATAGCAGTAGCAGAACCTGAATCTTTAGAGTAAGAGCAGACAACAAGTTTAAGGTACATCTGAAAAAGGACTCCAGGGAGATTTTTAAACCTACAAAATGCCTGGAGGTTTCCCTGGGTCTAATGCGAGTGCTTGCGTGGGGATCTGCAGTCTCCTGGGCATTGCTAACCCGAGGGTGCTCTTGTCCCCCCAGCTCCTGGGTGACATCCTGATCATCGTCCTGGCCGCCCACTTCAGCAAGGATTTCACTCCCGAATGCCAGGCTGCCTGGCAAAAGCTGGTCCGTGTGGTGGCCCACGCTCTGGCCC